AACAGTAGATTGAATATCGGGCTAATTTCCCCATACATCAACAAGCCGACTCGAGACGCGAGACCTAAATTGATCTTCTTTTCTCGAGAGCTGAAGCTCTTTAGCTTTGAAGTCTGGCTAATGATTTTCAAGTGTATCAATTAATGTGAAATGCAGAAGGTGAAGATATTTATTGAGATTGTTAGAGATAAATAGTGAGAATAAAGCCCTGTTTATACTTCTTTATAATACCAATACCCGTTCTGTTTTGTATGGCCATGTCCTCTAGTTACTTATATAAATTAAACTTTGACTTTTACCATGTATTGAATGTAAATCAGATGAAAAAGGCCGATACGTGGCCTGAATCAGTATGAAAGAAATTGGTCTCTGTATCAAATGTATTTCGTTTTAAATAACAGATCGTCAACGTTAACAACTAACAACGTAATGCAGAGTTGCTTGGTTCTTTGGCTGTTTGAAATCTCCTATTGAAATGTATGTTAATCTTACTTATATAGTTTTTTGAATTCGTTAACGACTCTGAAAAAAACTCTGAATAAACTATTAACGTCAAATATGATAATTACATTTTACAGAAAACATAATTACCACGGCATGAATACAGTCATATGGTAATATTAGGAACAAGTGAATAAAATAAATAAATGTTGACTGCACGTGCATTACATGTCATTCTTTTAAGTTCTAAAAAACATATGTTTTTTCTATGCCTAGGCTATCCATCTTTCTTTCAAACTCATGTTTATATATACTCGACAAGCGACAAATTTACTTAAAGCAAACTAATGAGTTTGAAACAGCTTTAACCATCAAGATGAACGTTTATCTCGTAAAAAATACTGAAACGTAATGAAACATAAATAGTATAGACCATAACTTATACTGTAAATAATTGAACCAAGTCGAAACGGTGTTGAAATGCTCTGGTTTTGTGGTAAGGGAGACCATTAGGATGTCGTCCAACCAGAACTTAATAAACAAAAGTCCATAAAATATATTCGAATTATTTTGACCAGAGTAAAATACGAGGCGATTTGAGGTCGTAAGTTAAATATCCATGAAACTATCAGATTTATTCAAGTAGTTCGCCATACTTTAGAATGATATTTTTTCTACTTTCCACAAATATCATAGTTATTTCGTCAATTTTAAAAATTCGACAAATTACTTTACTTTCCGTGGAGTCTAACAATTTAGAATTAACCTAAAAATTTCAAAACAAACATTTGTTTATAGTTGACTACATATTAGAATGACTGTGTTTGTTTAAAACAGGTGTAGTATGGTAACTGAAACTTGAAAATAAAATGTATCCATCAAAAATAGCCCACGATATACACGAGTTAAATGACAGACTAATTTCAAGGCTCATCAGTCAAAATGGCTGCTTGAAGAAGTACTTGGTTCAAATGTCAACAACATTGAAGGATTTTATTGCACAATAAGTAAACATTTCTGACTCGAAAAGGCTGTTAAAAACTAGTAACCAAATTACCTAATGAATGAATGAATAAACATGACTAAATGAATGAATGAACTGTTTTCTTTTTCCCCAATTCAGAACTGGGTGTAAATGTACATTTGATAAAGGTTGTGTACATCTATCTAAACATGTATTATGTTATTGTATATTCTGTAAAACGAAACAGGAGAAAATGGAAATAAGTTGGAGGTAAAGAAGTTCCGCCCTCTTAACCCGACACCATTTTCATGGCGTTAAGAATTTTGTACAAATCTGCTCCAACTTAGACAAGGCCTGTGTCAAATTTTCCACATCTTAGTATAATATCTAATCCAGATAAGAAATGATACAACTTATAAAGATGCATGTTCTGAATTCCAAATCGTTTCAAGAAATTTTGGGGTTTATTTATCTTGCTGACTCGTTCCTGCTTCACCACCATCTTTTGAGTTCAACATTAACATGCTGGCAACTACAACCGGAAGTGAACTCTCCTTTCGGAAAACACAAATGGTATCGTTAGCTGTATTGTTTCGAACAGGTCTAATTTAGCCCATATTGAGGACTTGGTTAACACGTGGGAACTCAAAACCTCTACGTACAGATAAATGTTTCAATCTACTATCTCTTGTTGAGAAGATATTTTTACATTTTTCTTAAGCATTCCCATAAACTACAATTTAGGAGTAAAACTGAAGGCGATGACAGTTTGACCGTTGCTTGGGGACATTTACATGTATTGGTTTAATTAATAAAAAATTGACAGATTCCCATGCCAAATTTCTATATATTTTAAGATGTCTACTGTTTTACCCATTACTAGGTATTGTATTCGTGCTTATTGCTCAATTATTTAAAGGAGAGGGTACTATAGGTACATGTCTGTTCTTCTAATCATATCAATCAATCAATCAATATGAAAATATTTAACAATCTCATCAGCATAAGAATAATAAATCAAAAGACATACATAGGAGTAAAACATTTAAAAATCAAAACATAATTTATTTCAGTATACTTGTTGTTTGGTAGGTAGATAGCAAGTTAATGTTTGCTTCCTGCTGATTATTGGTTCATTTGGATGATTCTGTGCTGTTGGTTTGGTAGTTGATGGTATATGCTTGTTAAAGTTCATTATAGACTGTAAGGTTATTTCAGTGGAATATTATCTATGTTAATAATGTAATATAAAGATCAAACGATTGAGAAAGGGTAGTTCAAGTCGACACGAAATCAACTACATGTTTTGTTTCCTGCAAATGCTACAGATACATATTTATCACATAAAATCATAAAAAGCAAATTGTCCTGAAAATTTAATTATGAAAGGAAAAGATTTAAAGATTGCCCTCGGGACCCCTAACAGACCTGCTTCATTTAAATAAACATTTTTCCTTTGTTACCAAGAAAACTTATATCTTATTCAATTGTGTACAAACATATTTTGTCGTTTTAGGTACAATTTGGGATATTGTTTTTCTTGAATTCATATGGTTCTAGTTAACTCAGCTACGGCCAACATTTTCCAAGTGTAATTTAGCCCACTTATACACGCCCATAAAATATGTTAACATTTTCAAATGTGCTTTTATTTTGTAGTTTACCAAATTATGATGAAGGCGATGTCAATTTACTTTGGCGCGATTACAACAAAAGGTGCATTAAAGTAAAAGGAATGGCTAATTGTCTCAATTACTTCTAAATTTTAATGTCTACATAACATAAATGGCAATAAAACGGAAATGACGTACTGAGTGAAGTTTAAGATTACTAGAATGAACTAGACCAACTTGTAATATACTCTATAAACCTTTCAGCTATTATTTTTATATATAACATTTCATTATACATTATTGAGACCCATCTAAATTATTATAGCAGTGTTAATGCATTGAATGTTTAGATAATAGCATTATGCAAAAAGTTATTCGAATTGAGGGATTATACGGAAGTTCGTGGGCAAGGTACAAATGCCATATCCTGGTGGTCTTAAACGATGATATTGTAGTATTAATATTCGGGATGTTTATGCAGCCATTTACCTATAATCACTTCCTTTTAGCCAGCCGAGATTCCTCTTGTAATTTGATTTTCTTATGGCATCTTAAAATCGAATACATCAACACTTTAAGGTTTATTAAATAGTGAGATTGTAAGTCAGTCCAAATACTGAAAATAAAATCTTGTGTTGTTGGCAAGTTTACGTTTCCTGTTATGTTATGCGATTTATGGGTCCGAATTATTAAATATACCACCGGCTTTCGGCACCGAGATAATTAACATTGTCGTCATGTTAAATGAATAAAAATGCAGTGAAATGCAAATTACCATTAATCGGTATTAAAGCTAAGGTGACGCTAGCTTGAAAGTAACAAGAATGATATAAACATTTCAAAATATTCAGCACATTTAAAACAAATTCTAGAAAAGGTATCAAGCTTTGAATTGAGATTTTATATCGTCGATGTAACATTGTTCTGTTGCTTTATTATATTCCATCCACGGCCTGGCCTGGCTTGTACATTGTGTGTGGTGCAATTCGGTTGCTCAAAACACTGATGGTTTGAGTAATCTCTCGTAAATTCTTAAGTCCCCTTATGATTTTTTTGATTTTTTTTTAAAGCACGATTATTGCGTTTGAAAATACAAAAGAACTATGTATGTAAAATGAATTTATTAACAATCAAATTTAATATCTTTGGTAACAGTCATAATTTAAATCAGATATTTTATCATCTCAAATTCACATAAAGCCCAGTTTACTGAATTTTGTTAATATTCAACAAAATTGTAACTTTTCCATTTGAATTGATGTAATAATTTAAATCTTATTAGTATTTGTTTGTAACACATGATAAAATTTTGAATGGGAAGATCTTGGATAATTTACCCTTACATAAATAGCACTATTTATAACTAAAATACTAGTAATGTGTCAATTTGATCACATTGTTTTATAAATATACAAAGATGCACACATTAGAGTCTTATTTTCTCAGTTCAATATGTGAAATAGTAACTCCAGTATCATATTCAACCAAACGCAATTTTTCAGAAAACAGTGACGCCAATTAAAAAGTTTTCAGATCGTCATTGTTTGTTATAATTCACACCATTAAAATTGCATTCAGTATGATTAACATGTTTCTTTAACTTGTTACACTCATTTCTATTGTCCATAGACAGTTGGCGGGGGTCAAAGTTGGGTCCATTAATTTCCCCTCCATCACAGTACCTTGATTGTCGGCACGTTTCAAAGTTTGTTCAAGACTCTTGTTCAACACAGTAGTTTAGATGTTCAGTTTAAAGTTTCATTGTGTTTTGAACTCAATCACGAACAATTTACACCGCTTTTTGCCTTTCACGTCGTTTGACTAAAATATGGATAATATATAGAATGACTATTGCCCGGATAAGAGGCATGGGCTCTTAATAACCCTAAAGGTCCTAATAAATTATGGCCCGGTAAATACGGGTGTAACCCTTGTCCATATAACATACTAGCTGAATAAGGGGACGCAAAAGCCAAACCGCCGGGACTTGGAGGAATAGTGGGACTGTTCACATCGAGACCGGGATTCTGTTTCTTCCATTTTGTTCTTCTATTTTGAAACCAGATTTTAATTTGTGTTTCTGTAAGATTAAGTGATAGCGCTAGGTTTAAACGTTCACACACTGAAAGGTATCGTGTCGTTTTAAATTTATTTTCTAGTGAGACTAATTGTTCGTATGTAAATGCGGTTCTAGCGCGTCTTGGTTTTCCAGCCTTTCCACCATCATGTCGATCATCTTTATCATCTTTTCCATCATAATCGAGTCTAGAATCACTATCGTCTAAATCTCTTTCATCTAATTCATTACCACTATCATTGATTGATATCGATAAATCATCAGGACCTGGTGAACCTAGAATGTATAAACATTTTTATTTTTAGCAAAACGAATCAAAAATAAGACTATAGAAATATAACAATTTCACTTTTATGTTTAATAACTATATCTTCAGATGCTTTATTAATATCATTTTATTATATTTTATTTGTTATCTAGCACAGGTACAATGTGTAAAAACATCAAGATTTAAACCTTGAATTCAAACAGATTCTTCCAGCAACAGAGATTTAAGTCACAGCAGTTTTTCTCATTACACTTCTCGCTATGCCGCCATGTTTGTATTAGAGGGAAAAAATGGTGTTGACTTTAACGACCTATAGCGATACATAGGATTAGTTTTCCTATTTCCTTCTTGTAGATTGTTGATATACTTTTTATTTATTTTTATTAGATAATTTAAAGCTTAATTAACCAGATATTACTCCTATTATAATGAAAATGAGAATATTCTAAACAATACTGGGCTCTAACCAAAACTATTATTTTACAAAATATATTACAGATATAGGCCTACATATTCGGGTGAATTGTAGGGAAAATATGTTTTCAATGTTTTAACAACAAGCAGAAAAAGGTGGAATTTTTTTCAAACAATCTGTAAATAAATTTACTAAAATTTCAATACATGTTATTTGATAATCAAAACTTTCCGAATATCTTTTCTATTGTTTGTGCTCAAATTATTTAATAGTTAATATCAAAATGAACATAATTATATATATAAATATTCTTCTTTTTTGGGGGGGGGGGGGGGGGGGATAATGAAGCAGGGCAGCACCACGTTATGAGCTTTGGGGAAATTTCTTAGCGTATGTACAGCTCGTCTATTATTCGTCCTCTAGACAAAACATAAACTGTTTCTTAAGTTCTGAGGACCTTTCTGAAACATTTTCTACGGCTTGTCTTATCCTAATAGCTATGCAAATAAAATTCCTAAATGCAGTTTCTTATAATAGGCTATACCTTTCTCACATCTGTCACAATACACGTATATAAAGACATACTTTAAATCTCATGTAAATAAAGTAACAAGGTCTAAAAATGTTCAAAGTTAAATTTAACCATAGCCATTATATCATATTAAGCCGTGTTATCTATTCTTTCCTTTCTCTTTTTATATTTTAAGCTCGCAAAGGAAGGTTTGAATTGGCCAAGAGCTAATAGGACAAGACAAACTTCATATTAATTTTTATTTAAAAATTGTTTGTACCATACAAAATTCCCTTTCAATACTAGACCCTGTTTCAAAATTTGTTCCCAAGTTTGTTTGAAACTAGAAATTTGTATTCGATATTAAAGTAAAATCAAAGAGTATACGATCTGGTGTTTTCTATAAAAACGGTTTGTAATTGTTTGTATTAAGTTCAGTTTAAACGCCCAGCGTCAGTCTAATTGTACGATATTAAAGGGTTAAATTTATCTACAAGACTGGGATAATGGAAAAATTAAAATTCATTCTTGTCGACAATAAAGTTCTTAAAGAAGTAAATATTTTGATACGAGATGGGTGACTGGTGAGCAAGCGAATGGTCCTTTAATTTCAATAGAAATCGTTTTGGACGAGTAAGGAACATAGAGAGAAGAGGTACAAAGGAAGCCTGCAGGCGGCCATCTCCTTCTAATTACTTCATTTCTTTTTACAATTCGATGATTGAAATAATTTCTTCTTTTTACTTTTCCTATCAAACATTCTTTTAACCCTTGATACCCCGGAGCCTAGTATTATTTCTTCATTAGGATGAGAAAAAGACTTAAAGAGTCGAGGGTAGATACAAGTAAAGAAAAATACTTGAGGCCCAAATTCTCTAGTGATTCTGAAATTTATTAAGAAATTTCACTTTGATTTTTATATAACAAATCTTAGAGCCGATCGAAGTGTCGCCATTTTGAAATCGATTTAGTGAGATAAAATGTTTGAAGGAATGTTTGTCAAACATTCAATTCAATATGTACATGTTTATTCTATATTTCTTCTATGTACTGATCACAAGATTTCTTATTCAATACAAATATTGTTCACTTTTATATCCAATGAAATGAATCAATGATAGCATGCATTATGTTATTTATCTACATTGAAGTTGTCTGCCCACATCTTTCCAGATTTAAATGTTTTTTGAATATGCAACGTTTTGTGTTTTTTTCAGAACGAGTCATAAGAAAATGATATATTGATCTCACGGATTAAAGAATCCATTTTATTTTCATACGAAACATGTTCGAAAATATAGATAGTAAAAATGTAAAAAATAAATTAAAGGGTAATACTTGTGGTTTTTTTTTAGAACGTTTTAACTCAGATTTTAGCCTTTAATATAGATATTATCTCAAAAATGTACCAAGTAATTGGGTTAAAATAGAAATTGTTTCAAATATGTTATATATTTTTTATACCAAGAATATATATTGCTTGAAATATTCAGAAGCTAATAAATTTATTACCATGATGTTTTTTGAAGAATAATGATTATTGTCATTCATTGAATTAAGTTATCATATTCGAAACAAATTGTAATAAATATTGATAGGTTTAGATAATCAGTTTAAAGAAATAACTATTGAAAAGAAAATCTTGAAACGAAATGTTTACCGGCTAAAGGGAGGATAAAGGTTGCAAAAGTCGTAATTTGAACTGTTTTAACTTCCGTACATGTTACGGATTTTCTTTAACAAATTACATAGAAACTGATGCCATGAGCCGAGATTACAATTAGTTATATCTCCTGTTACACCCCCGGGATTGGGTGCTTCTTGTATCAATATGCTTTTAATTTCTCGGAATTTCAAAGAAAAGAACATAGTTTAATATTACATTATATGAAATAGTATACATTAGATAAAAAAAAAATCTTGAGGCAAAAGAGAGAAATTTCTTGTATATTAATTTTTTCATTGCAAAATTAATCATTCTAATAATAATTTTGTTATTTAATTAATTTTATAGAGTGATAATCATAATAAAAATGTCATTGTTGAATTTCAGAATTTACCACAGATAATATTAATATCTTAAATAATATAAATACTTTCATTAAGATTCCTTCTATACAGTAAAAAATATTCACACACAAATATTGTCAGATGTTTTTACCATATAATTTGTTATATTTACACGATAAAAAAACTCACTGCACTTGTAGATAAATTCACAAATTAAAACTACATAATAAGATGTGTTGAATTCATTTAAACCAAAGTAAAAAATCTCAAGCTTCAACTTTGAAGTACAAGTTTTGGAATGAAATGTAAAATACAGAAATGTAACATAAACGAAAAGAAGATTATGGAAAATACAGATTGTAGTAGTGTTGAATATGTGAAAAAGCTTATTGTTTTCGACAAGAGAAATTCTATCTGAAGTTATAAGAACCTGCCGACAAGTCGTTGACAGAGAAATATTTTATTGAAATATTTATGGTGGAAAATGAAAGTTTCACGGCAGTATTAAGAGGGGGCTCTTCAAGTAGGTCTGATGGTGTACCGTACTCATTTAGATCTATGAACATCAATATAAATATTTAATGTTGATCAATTTATTCCAATAATATTGAAACAAGTCAAAATGTAGGTAAAAGTTTTTATAATATTTTGTTTTTGTTTTGTTCTATTTTTTCAATAAAATTGTCACTAATATATCAAATTCAACTTCAATAAATAGCATTGAAATAATCAGCACGTAAGAAAAGGTTTCAAAGTCGAGTTTCAAGATCAGAAAAAGAATGGGCGTAAGATCCAACATTCGTCTATGTATTTTGCAATAATAAGCTATATCTTTTAAAGTATGTAAATTTTCTTACCTAAACTATGTGCTGTGTCGTCTGCTTGAGATGGATCAGAGGAATTCTCGTCTGCCCAAGGATGCCATACGCGTGATCTTCCTGTGCCAGTAAATTTCGCTGGATCCAAAATATCCGCAACTTTAAAAGATGTTGGTTGTAATTTTGGTGGTGGTGTTGCTACCGGCCTTGGACTGTGGGGTGGGGGAACCCTTTGTTCACCCTCACTGCCTGATTCCTCATCCCTCGGACTGGATGTCATTCTTCGTCGAATTATATCTCTTTCATATTCTTCATCATCAGAATCAATGTAAACACGAGCATTGTGATCAGATACAGGACTTCTACAAGGACTTCGACTTACGTCTCTCTGTCGCTTCATCGACAGATTCATTTTGAAGGATTTTTCACAAATTACACATAAACTATTTTGAAAATTCTAAAATTTTAAGTCCACTTAGAGCACCAAATAATAATCAACAAAAGTCACTGTTGCACCTTGCACGATACAAGTTTAATGTGATTCACTAAACAAGTGCTATAACTTTAATATTTAGAGCGCATGCGTAGAGACCTCCCCTTACTGGCGTCTGACAGTGGTGAGGCGTATAATTGAAAGCGAGATGGTGTTATTTTCTCTCAACGATCCTAATTGGCTCTCACTTTAATTGATAGCATTAGCCACAAAATGCGACAATTATTGAACTGTCAAGCCGTTATAATCGCTTCTTAAGCCCACAAAGATGGCCAAATTGGTGAAATTATTTTGAGGTGAAGATTAAGATGAAGAAATGAGATGGTAATGATTTCTGACTAGAATATAGAGAGGGGTGGAGCTATGATCAATTTCACTTGTCTTTCAAATATTATTATATCTACCTATACTATCATGGCGTATTTTTATCTTTTATCATAAAAGATACTACAAATGAATTATGAAATCATAATTTGATTAATTTAACCAACAGAATAATAAGTTCCATTACGATAAAATGATTATATTAATTATATATTCGTTTGCATTAATTCGGATAACTAATTTTTATGGTATCCATTTCCTATAAATTCCTTTAGGACTTTTGTTTCATTGAATCAATCTCATTGACGC